TTGCCAGCGTAAGTGACATAATCATCGGAAGGCATTTTTGTCAACTGAAAACATTGATACCGAATATTAAACATGGATGACTGCTCACCAAAGATTTGTGATAAAACGGTGACTGTCTCATCGAATGATAACTCACGTGGGTTCTTGGGCAGAATGAAATTAACATATCTGTTGTACTCAACAGTACCAAGTTTTCTTAGTAACAATCGGACTTTGGCAGCATCATCAAACATGTAGCATTCAATACGGAAAACGTCTTCGTAACGATTGAACCATGCATCAAATACGAGACCAGATATTGGGTCATAGTTGAACTCACTGATGGAATTTGAGATGCTTTCATATTTGTCTGAATGAGATGTTGATGGAACTTGAATGGACAGCTTCTGAGTGAGAGCTTCGATTAATTTTAGTTGAGCTGCTTCATTATGAACCTGCTGCTACTGCAAGATAGATTTGAGATCGTCCAGAGAGATAGACATTGTAATTGGGTTGTAATTAACACAGTCAAAAATGTTATATAGTTGCGCTGAACAGAATAAAAACTGTCGTCGTTTGCTTGCTATAACTGCGATGAATTAAGGTAAAACCCCGTCGCCAATTTGTTATAACTGTAGGGAATTGAATGAAGACGTTTTCACCTTATTCTGTCTGCGCCTGAACTAATCTGTCTATCTGCTCGTCGTACCTTCCGATTTAGTAAAGCACGCAAATATCAAAAGACAAAGGCTGGACTGTGACTGTGTATTGAAGTGCAACAACGATAAAGAAAGCCATGGTATTTATACATTTTACAACAATATGGACAGCTAACAGCATTTGAAATAATTTATCTTAATAGCCAATAACAAAGTGCGTGAGAGATGATAATATACCATATGTGCGAGGTTGACAGTCAGTAACAAAATGTGTGGGAATGATAATATACCATATATACAAGATTAGCAGTCACTACCAAAATGTGTGAGAATGATAATATACCATATATACAAAATTAACAGTCACTACCAAAATGTGTGAGAATGATAATATACCATATATACAAAATTAAACAGTCAATACCAAAATATGTGGGATCCTATCAATAACATCGTTTCTCATCACTTCAGATTAAAACTCTCCATAATCTCTTAGAAGACTGCATGAGTTCTAGCAGAGGGCAAATATTTTCACGATACTTCTCGGTCGGCGGACCCAAATTCCTCCTTCGGGTCGGGAAATATGTCAAATGTTGGATTTCGGTAATTATTCTTGTGTTTCAAAGTCTGTCAGAGAGTGAAAATGTGGACAATATGCCGCACTCCTGGCTTGAATCATACTTGGTTTTCATAGGTTTGTTTCTTTTGAGCTTTGTTTAGTCTACACAGCTTTAGTGAGTTTAGAAGTTCCGATCCTAATTTTTGTCAACCTGATCTTACTATGATTATCTCATGAACATTTGTCTGAGACAAACAATGATTTTACACCACTTCACTGGGACTACCTGAGATTCCCGCACATAGTCTAGGATCTTAGCCAACTTAGTCAATACTTCGTCACCTCTGGAATCACACGTCCTGATACCTCTGCTTTACCTCATTTTCTTTTAGAGATAGTTTTTGCAACTTTAGTTACAGTTGCACAACCCGTGTGTACAGGTAGGTGTTTGATATTGGCATGCTACTGAATGTGTTCTCTCCAATTTTCCATTCATCCGTTCTGAGAAGTAATTAAAGTGCACATCTGAGAAATTGTTCCACTCACCATTGGTTTTTTACAGGACGTTTCCATAATGAATCTAAATAGTTTTCTGGCATTACTTAAGTTGGATGCTTTTTTCGACTTCTTTTAATTTTGTCGCCAGCGATTGTTCACTGCTTTTATATTCCTGTTTGTCAGTGGAACGAATTTGCCCTCAAGCCGCGACTTACACTCTGGTAACTGCTTTTAGTCCAACATCTGTCTAATCGGCTTTTGTTGCTTAGTAGAATCTGCAGCAAAATATGTTCCAGTTAGTAGTGTTGCTGGTTATGTCTACGCGGTATGCTGCAAGCTCGACCACTACGTTAGAGTAGCAACTAGTCATCGGTTGCATATACATAGAAGTTATTTTATATCATACGTTTTTCTCGAAAGTTCAGATTTAAGGTAAGTTATGCCGCTGAATCACCGCTAAAAATACCACAAAGGTGGTGTGTTGTCTTTCATAAGTACCAATTGATGTCACACAATTCTGCACTTTAATGTAATACTCTTTACTTTTTGTTTACATTTTGTTTTAAAAGTTGTGAACAGGAAATATAAGTCTGTCAGTACTTCTTCACATATTCGGTCCACTTCATGTTCATCGAATAAATCTGTACTACCCCGCTTTTCCATGACACATCGACGTACTGCTTCAGGTGATCCAAAACTTTTAAGCAAAATGTCTAGTCGTAATAGTGAAGGTGAGTTCATAAATTGAGACAGTTATATAATTCTGAACTGAAGTCTTTATTTTTTATAAATCATATTATGCGAAGTTTATCAACTCTTCACAGTATTATTATTATTATACTCCTAGATACTTGTTTTTATTCAAATCAGTGAGCATTCAATTAACAAAAAGATTCGGTAGCTTATATAACGTAAAAGCCCATGAATAATTCAGTGGTGGTGGTTTCACACACAGAGATTAAAAACAAAATATTGTGGTTGATTAATGTCCATCCATGATAAGAACTATATCTCTAATTAGTGCTTCCCGGACTTATTATACTCTTATATGTTGTAGGAAGTTTTTGTTAAACAGTAAACGTTTTAGTCTTTGTGATTACTGAGAGTGCACATAATAATTGGCGGTTATTGTACCTTAAACTAGTTTAACAAAATTAGCACAGGTTTGTGCTCTTTTTAAATATTAATCATCCTTGTGGATCCTCGTGAAAATCCCTGGACTGCACTACTGCTTCCTTAATGATATTTCCTTAAATTTATAACCACGTTTGCTAGAATAACCGTTGTCTTTTTGATGGATTCTTCTGTATTCATTTTTTTCTTCCTTGTTTTTGAAAGATATTCCATCTCAGAACAAGCAAAGTCCATCGTCTTCTTCTCGTCACTACAACAGTTCCTCTTCGAAATTTAGTGCTTTAGATAAACGACATAGAAATGTAAGTTCTACCTTGAAGTTTACATAACATTATAACCTTGAATACAACAGGCAATTAATATAGAGATATTTCGGCGTCTTGGCATTATCAACAAATGCTGTAACCTACATCAATGCCTTGGAACTACATAACTTGATCTAGTTGCTGTCTTTAACTTCAAGTTACTTCACGACCTAGCCAATGCATCGGTCAGTAATCACTTCTGATCTGACCTTATGCTTCCCAGCTATGGTCACATTTCCCATTAGTAAATAATTCATCGACTCACTGGCGAAATGTATATTTATCCATGTATGTTTAATGAAATGAGAAATAAATGAGAAGGTATAGAATACAAGTGTTGGGAATCTGCGAAAGCGGATGGAACGGAACTGGAAGGTGCCAACTACCAACTGGAGAGATAATAATCTATTCCGGCCACCCAGAGGACAATCACGAGCACACCGAGGGAGTGGCCATCATTAGGTCACCAACAGCAGCCAAAGATCTCATGCAGTGGGAACCAATCTCCTCCAGGATAATGACAGCCAGGTTCAACTGAAAAGGAAGGAGAGTTACAGTTATTGAATGCTATGCGCCTACAAACGTCTCAGAACAAGAGAAGAAGGAGGCTTTCTACAGACAACTACAAAGAATAATGGACAACGTCCCAAATGGCGATATCAAAGCATGGAATGGCAATCAAACCTCTAGCTCAACTTTATAGACTTTGAGAAGACCTTCGACAGCGTTGACCGCGAAGTAATTTGGAAACTACTTGAGTACTACGGCGTATCCCAAATATTCATCAGCCTTATTCAACAGCTGTACGACAACGGCACATGTCAAGTCATCCACAACGGAAAACTCAGCGAGGCGTTTGGAGTAAACACAGGAGTGAGACAAGGGTGCTTGCTGGTCGGAAAAGCAGTCGGTGAAGACAGGACTCCAAGGGAACATAGACAAGACAGAGGTGATGAAAATAACCAACCAACAACAGCAACATCCAGCGTCAATCACCATCAACGGGAGGGATTTGAAAGAGGTTTCTTCATTCACTCACTTATCTAGGGAGGGAGCATTGTCTCAACTACAGGAAGTCGGAAGGGACGAGGATGTCAAATGGAGCGAGAATCGGGAAGGCGAGAAACACATTCATCAACCTGAAACCAATCTGGAAACCTTCGTCACTCAGCCAGCGTCAGCAACAAAATTCGGTCGGATTTTCAATACAAACGTCAAGTCAGTCAGTTCTTCTATATGGATCAGAAAGTTGTCGGGCGGGTCACAACAAATATTTCCAACAGCCTGTTGCAGATCAGACCTTTATCAGCAACTGTCTTCGCTGGATCTATACTGAAGATCAGATGGCCGGGCCGGGCCGGAAAGAATCACCAACAAGAAACTATGGCTGGGAAGAAACAAAACAAGAACCAATCGCCCACCAACAGCAAATATGCAGGAGAAAGTGGAGATGGATTGGACACTGGCTGAGGAGGCCGCTGAGTGACATCGCGCGCGCGTCAGGCCATCGCTTGAGTGGAACCCGAAAGGGAAGCGGCGAGTGGGACGTGGTTGTCAGTGCAAGGGTAACATGGAGGAGATCGTGTGAAGAGGAGTTGAAACGATATGGACTAACATGGATGCAGGTGAAAAGTACAGCAGAAGAGAGAAGCAAGTGGAGACGTTCAGTTGAAGTCCTATGTTCCACTGGGAACCCAAGGGAGCAATAATAATAATGTCCACCTTTTATAACTGAAATAGGTGGTTGCGCTAGTGACTTGATATCGGAATTTTTTATGAATACTTTGGTGACAGATTATTCACATTTTTGAGCTTATTTCTCCTTCCTCCTCAAAATATCCTTATAATCACTATCTCACCATATAGCTCGACGTATTTCTTGCAAGGATCTTGGACAAGGTGACTGTCAAGGTTGGTTAAAGAAAACAAATACATTGACTAGTAAATACGTGAAAAGATGGTGTGTTTACAAAAATTCAACATTCTACCACTATAGAAATCCTAATGTAGGTTCATAATTAGTTATCACCAAATAAAATGATTTGTTCACTTCATGTTTAGGATGATTCAGCTGAAGGTTTAATTCTACTTCATGGTTTTACCATCACTCCTGCAGTCTCAGTAAAATCTGGAAAATTGTAAGTTCCTTAATTGAAATTAACACCAGAAATGTATGAATATTTTCTTCATAACAGTGATATGCCTTCAGCTTATATTGAATTATCAACCAGTTAGGTTGTATATAGACATTTTTACTGGCTTCTCTTGCAGATCTAATAGGTTCGTACATTATCTACTTTATTTTTTCTAATGAAATGACCATAGTGCACTCTTTACTACTACGAACTTATTCATAGAAACAAGTATTACAGTTGCTTTCACCACCAAATTATTAGGGACTTAGTAGAACACTAATGGAGAAAAACTTTAACTTATGTTTAATTGATAGTTATGGGTTAGCTCATTTCATCTGTTTGATGCTAATGTACCGATTTTTCGCTCATCTCTCGGAAGTCACACTGACTCTAGTTAGAGAATTCTTTTTACACTCCTTTGAAGGGGTATTCCGAAGCGGTTTCACAAGGGTAAAAGGAAAACTACTGGGAATTTCGACCTAGAAAATTTGCTAGAATACTACCAACAAATTTAAGAAGTATTCAGACCCGAGCAACTTAACGACAACGTCTGTGATTACAGCACTCTATGACTCAGGTTCGAATCCTGAAGTTAACATGTATCCTCTCACGTCTGCAGATATGCCGTGCTGATGAGTAACAATAAGCGCGAAACCTAGATTCAGGATTGTCAGCGAATCACCTCCAATCATTAATTCAAAGAGTGTACTTTAATGGAGAGTCTTCTAGATTGGCGGGCATATCGCAAACTGAATGTGAAAGAACCTACTCGTCACCAACACTAAGATGTAGACATATCCCACTGGTTACTCCCCAATGACCAGTCATTATGGATGTAAATTTCCACTGAAGCGATGTGATGTGGCCATATTGTCAATAGATAACTGAATCGCTTACTTGTAAGCTGTAGGTATTCAGCTTTCGAAACTTCATGTATTCAAACGAACTAAATCTTTTGTTTTAATTGTCTCAATAACTAAACTCGATCTTCTAATAAGGCTATTTGAATTAGTTAAAGGGACTAATCGTTTTCAATATCTTACCACTACTGAACAGAATGTAAAATATGTGGAACCTATGGATATTTTCAAAACTGAGTTTTCCTTCAGGTTTCTATCAGTAACTCATTTGGAAAAAAGTACTCAAGTCATTTATATGTGATTTATAATGTCCACTTTTTTCCCATCTGGAAATAATATTGATTACTTCCTTTCCTTTATTTCTAGTGCATTTTTCATTTTTATTGACTGGGTTCACTTTGTATTTGCCTCGGACTCTGAACTCGATCGACCCAAGTGGATGAATAAGCTGGACTTAGCTCAAATCGGATTGTCATCCTGCGTGCCGAGCTCTCGTATTGGTGGTTTCAATCTTGGCTATTTGGTTTCTCATGGCACTAAAAATAGTGAAGCAAAGTCTGAGGTTTCTGTTCTTCAATCAGCTATATTGCATTCCCCTGTATTGACTGTGCGATGGACTAATATAACTGGATCCAGATCTCAGCCGTCATCTGGTTCTAGGAAGACGGGTTCTGTAGAGATCACTGCAGTAACGACAGCTCCTCAGCCTCTTATTTCTCTGGTAACTTCTCATGTGAGTTGTTGTGTGTAGATTTTACTGAGTTGGTCGTCATTTTTTCGTGGATGAGAAACTATTATTTTATCTCCTATGGAATTTGGTTAAAATACCCCAACAATATATATCTCTAATGAGCTGGGATTTGTATAAATAAGGTTTTATACTTAAAATACAGTGTATTACAATCCCATGACAACAAAAACTGTAGTTTTGATTTCGGGCGCCTACTAAATTTAATGACATTGATTCATTGTTGACTAAATTCTTTTTCTTTTTGTGATCACATGACCTTATTAGGTTGTTTTCTTAGTTGTGATTTTTTATGGTATCCTCGGAAAATTAATTTTGAGACAACGACTGTCTAGATTTCAGATTAACATGATTGCTTTGATACTGTTTAGGCCATCGCGTTGTGACTGGTGGGTAGACAGCACGATAGAAACAGATATGTGTCAGTTGAAGTTGATTCGTTTTACAACTGCAGTTAGCTATTGCTGTACTTCGATATTGTGGAGTGTGTCAAGTATGTAGTGCATGTTGTGCTTCAGAAACACCCAATATAGCCACTCACCTAACGTGACCTGTCTAACTTTGTGACTGCACAAAGTCGAACGTGGCAAGCATGAAAAGATTAAGGATTTTCGACGTAGATGGCTACATTCACTGTCTCTTATATTACTTGGTACGATATTGTCAGTAATAATGCGTATGACTTAGTGTTAGTTAGATGGGGAAAATCAGTTGGTAAGAGTAGAAAACCTCACGAAAAAGTTGCCTAGAATATTTCATAAGTACATCGAACCCCGGTTTTCTTCTGTGAGCTATGCTAGTTGAAATAGAATAAGTTGATAAAGAGTTACTGCTCTTCGGATGAAAATATGACACCACTCCACGATGTCCTTAACTGTTGACTTGTGTGACGCAGGGTTGTGTGTACCTCGCCACTGAGATCTTCGGGATTTTGAAGCCTTTGGTAATGTCATCAAGATCTTTCTCGACGGTGCAGATATAGTTACAGTGTAATTTTCCTGATTCTGAAAATTCTCATTCTTTCTTCCACACATCTTAGTTTTTAGTGTTATTGCATTTATTTTCTTCATCTTTAAATGTGCGCTTTTATGAAATGTGGCCACTTGAACTACTCCACTTTTACACAAACTTCTATGTTAAGAGGTCAGTTCAGTAGAGTGTTTCATACATCAACGCTCATCACATTCAGGCTACTGATTTCACCTTACATGTTTATCTGACTGACTGTTTATAATGTAGAACTTTGCACACATGTGCAGCAGTTTGAGTTGTCACATTCCATGTAGCACACAAAGCAACACAAGAGAGTAAACAGAGATTCAAAAGAGAGATAATAAACAGAATTCTGAGGGGAAGAGAATAGTAATACAGAGGAACAATAGAGTTTCATTGTTTATTGTAAATCACAAGGAGTGGATACATCTTCGCCATTGAGAACGATTTTAGGGCATATCACCAGTTATCTCCAGCCTACATTGGTTTTTACCGTCCCGAGGACCCAACGTAACTGGCTGAAACCAACTGTTGTGAATTTCATTCACTGGTGAGGCCATGTTTTGTTTTGACCAACACGCCACCAGCTCTTTTCTAACCTGATCCATCCGATGTCAACTAACACTGTCCGTCGAGGAAGGTGGTCGATGGCTAGGCATACGTAACACATGTCCTAACTATCTCAGTCGATGTAGATTCACAGCCTCGTTGATTGATTTCCCTCTCCTTGCCTAACACTCGACCGAAGCTTAACCACTTAACTAACTAACACTGGAGATAGAATGCAGACAGGCACCTATGATCAAAGACAGCTAGCTAACCTTTACATGTCTTCCACTTTCAATGGTCGTGTCTCACAGCCAGCCAGACAACCATAAAGGAGGACGGAGCTAGGAGTCAGTGTAGTCCAGTCCTGTAACGTCATCTTACGTTTGACAGCAGGAGCGAATTGCATGCCAAACATTCGTAGATTGCCGCTCAAGGTGTTAAGAAGACTCTGAACTTTGTCAGCGTCCTCACCTAGAAGGACTATATCATCTGCATATTCTGAGTCAACGAGATTATTCCCTGGTAGCAAGTCAATCCCTGTGTCTCTCAAGTCAGTTAGGGCTACGTCTAATATTGTATCTACGATGAGATCAAAGCGGGGACGGGCACATTGATCATCCCTGACGGACACCACTAGTTGTCACCACTTCAGATGACGACTCTCCTTAGGCTCTCACCTAGCTGACTGCATGAGTTCGAGTAGAGTTCCTTGACCAGTGTAATGTATTTTCTCTGCATTTCGCTCACAGCCAAGCATCGCCAAAGTACATCTCGGTCGACAAAATCGAATGCTGATTTCAAGTTAAGGTCCATTTTTATCAGATTTAATGATTATTGCCCTAGTTAGGTTCTCAATGTTAAGTAAATGTTTGAAGACTGTGTATTATATGTATTATTATACGTAATTCATTTCTCCCAGTCGTTCGGATCAGCCACATCGGCTTTCGACTATTGATCCTGCCTAATTTGATTTAACAAATATGTTGCAGTCATTAGACTTTAAGACGTTTTCGTGAAAATTATGCAATTTTCTGTGTAATCAGTAAATATATACTATTTTACCTAATGTCTGCACAGTTCACCTGTGTTAATCAAGAGTTTGAAAGTGTCTCGGAGAGTGCTTCTAAGCTTCAGGCTGTATTCGCTTTATCGGCGTTGAACTTCAATTTTGATTCAGCGTGATATTCAGTAACAACTAACCTGTTCAAAGTGACAGATCTAATGACGCCCTAAATTGAATACCAATAATATTACCTCCAGTCTTTGCTTCAGTGACCGGAATGTAAGATACGCCGTTGGTGGTAACAGCTTTTTGAAATATTACTTTAGTGAATCTCAAGCTATAGTTACGCTAGATCTTCGAATAGTAGCGATCATTCAAAGAAGACTGTAACATTCCATTCGATTCCATAAGATTTGTAATTTAGCAGACATAATCAGTTGCTAGGGCGGGTAAATTTTCTGAAGTTTTTATTTTAATTGCTGTTTTGTTTACGGAAATGGTGTAGCGTTATAAGTCTCACGCTAAAGTGTGGTTATGGTTCAGTAACCTTGGTTAATAATTGATGAGCTCGAATTCACTTCGTCTAAGTGAACCTGTATATGTCATCACATATTGCGTCGCACACTAGAGAGGTGATCAATATTTTGGCGTATGAAACTAAGATTTCAGTGACTTTTTCTAGTGTGTGGATTCTTAAGTCTATAATAGATAATAGCACTTTATTTGTTGTTCTAAACATAAAGCAATGTAGTTTTTCGTATTCATAATCTTTCCTAATATAAAGTATTGTCTTTTTGATATTTCAGCGGGCATTATCTCCTTCAAAACATGAACCAATACATTTGAACTCATCTCCATCATTTTCTGTTTCGGATTTACGTTCTAGTTCATTACCATCTGAAGCACATGCTATTTACCCCATGGTTTTCCCTCGGAATAGTGCTCTTCCACCCTCAGTTGGACAGTCGTCATCTCCTGCACGTACTAGAAGTGGACAACGTCAACCTATTGATATAACTTCAGCCGCATTTCGATGTTATAGTGAAAGCGAAGATGAGGCAGAGGAAGAAATTGAAGCTGAATGCGATGTTGATGACAGTATTGATTACAGTTGTCTTCCTGGGGATAGTTCCCGCCTGGACCTTCGAAATCGACCAGGCTCTGCATCCCCTTTGCAAGGTCTCAGACTATCTATCATTTCGTCTGGCAAATAAAAGGCTGGAAGTCTGAAGTCATATAAAAAACTAAGTTCATGTGAAGGTGAACCACATGGTGTGTCTGCTGTGCATACTTCAACACACTCATCACATCCATTAAGAGCTGCACACATTATTATGAAAAAACTGTCTAATTCAGAAAAATTCTCACAATCGAAAGACACATCGGTGTAAGACACAACGAATCAGTTCCAGAATTCAGCAGTAGAGTTTTTGATGGTGAAGATCTCGAACATTGATTCGCTTTTCTTTGATTAATTTCTTTTTTGTCTGACAGAATATACTTTCATTGTTTTCATCAGGCCTAACATATTCACTTATCCTGTGATGCTTTCTTTATTTCTACTTCTATTTTCTTTATTTTCAAATAATATACTATCAATTATAATATCTTAATTCATTCGGTTGCAAAATAACCGTCTTAGGGTTTCGTGCTCAATAAGTATGCCATAGTGACAAACATCAGGAGTGCATTTGTAATTGAAAGGCTCGTACAACTGTTACTGATTCCAACTACTTGACTCCATCCCAAAGCAGAGTTGTATGCATGCTGTCTGGTTGAATATAACCGTTAGAATAAGGAAAGACCGTGACACCAGTCGGTTCTCTTTCATAATTTCCGCTAACGCCCCCATCCAACCGTCCTTCGGACGAAGTTAAGGATGTATTCTATCAAAAAAACTATCCATCTAATAAGAACAAAAACGCTCAGATGAAGTTTTTAATGCAGGCGACTTCACTACACAAAAACAGCAGCTACGACTGGTCAAAAACATTGATATCAGTATAAAAATTGCGCAATGTGGTAGAGTATAACTCCATTATGGATAAGATTTCATTTGGATAAATCACACAGTGTTTTACAGTAATATTATATGATTACGTTTCCAGCATAAACTATTCCTAGTAATCATATCAAGTCATTCACACAACTTTTTTCCTTCATTTATATACATGTGTGGAATTGATTAGATATTTGAATAAAAGTCAAACGTCATCAGTCAATATTACTGTATAACACTGTGTGATTTATCCAAATAAAATCTTATCCATAATGGTCAAAAACATATATTTAAAGACCATCAGAAGTCCATATCAAAAACTGGCGACAATGCCCACATTCACAGTATTTTTAAGAATCTGTACACCGTTGCGTTAAATGTGTTTGTTATACTTAACTGTAATTATTTATCATTCAAAAAAGCAAATATTGATCTATAAGTGACAGAACAACGTTCCACTATGCTGGAAAATCACTAATTAAGAAGACCATGCTGGATTATTACTCGCATAAAATTTCTCGACCACACCGAGATTTTATGCCATTAGATATTGAGACTGCTTGATGAAAATAGAACCAGAAACGGCTGAACTCATGTAGTCTATTAATTTCACCTGGATACACTCATTCTTCCCATATGGTAGAGAACTCCTCTTTAGTGCTGAACGTGTCGACAGACTCACTAGTAATATTTGCAAAATCAAAGTCATCAGGATAGACAGTAATATGATTCACGGAGAATTGGAAAAGCTCACTTTTCATATTGAAGTCGGCGCCGAGGTTGTTGTTGTTGTCGTCGAGGGGGAGAGAGAGAGAGAGACAATGAAAGCTTCGGAAACCAGCCATCCAGCTCAGAGAATACAACTACACCGATATCATCCACCTTCGCTACAAATCCTCTCGTCAGGGATGCTGAGTGTCCCCATTTCCGCTTTGATCTCATCGTAGATACAATATTAGACTGAACCCTAACTCACTTCAGAGACTCAGGGACTGACTTGTTACCAGGGAATAATCTGGTTGACTCAGAATATGCAGATGATATATTCCTTCTAGGTGAGGATGCTGACAAACTTCAGAGTCTTCTGAACACCTTGAGCGGCAATCTACGAATGTTTGGCATGCAATTCACCAAGGACAGACTGTCAACAAACACACGTATTATATATAAGATAAGGGGAATATACATTGTCAAAGGAGACAGGTTCTTCAAAGTGAAATTGTCAAAGAATAAGAGAGCAACAGAAAAAGTGACCACCATACATATATATATATATATAAAGGATACATATCAACACCGTGCAAACAGAGACTGCAAGCGTGGTGGAGGATGTCTCATATATATACATAACTCAGTTGTAGTCAGTAAGGTGGAAGACGAAATACTGAATAAGGTACCTGACTCACTCTGGGTTGTCTTACATGGAGATAAGTACAAACTTCTCATAGACTGTGTTTATCGAGCACCAAGCGCAACAAAAGAAACTGATGCGTTATTAGCTAAATCGTTTGCACACGCCTCCTCGTTTAGAGCTAATTACAAAATAATTGCAAGGGACTTCAATCTTCCAAAAGTCAATTGGTTAAGTAGTTCCGGCCCCCAACGCTTCAACGAATTACTTGCCACTATCGACTGTTATGGATGGCAACAACACGTCCAGACACCTACTCGTGGTGACAACATGTTGGACCTTGTTTTTGGTCATGACACAATTCCAGTCTCCACCTATGTTGGTAATCGATTTTCCAGTAGTGACCATAGAATGGTACTCTGCTCTCTGTCTTTCTCACCACCAAATACAGGAAACAAACAAGATTCAGGAAGCATGACATGTCACAGTTACAAACACACAGACTGATGATTAGTCCAAGAACTTATTCGACTCCGTCAATGGGATGACTATTTTACCACTGACTTCCTGGAGGCCGTAGTAACCCTATTTTACAGGAATGTTACCCTTTGTCTAGATACTGTTGCTCCAAAGAAAATAGTGAAATTAAGTAGACACCGAGCTGAATATATTCCAAGGGCACACCGCAATAAGTTAAGGAAGTTGGAGGAACAGTACTATTCCACTAAGGACACATCACTACTGCTCTCAATCCACGAGTCTCTTGAATCTATCAAGCGCCTACGCTCTCAAAAGGACCTCGACGAAGAGTTAGCGGCACTTGAAAGTACCTCCAAAGTTTATAACTTAACAGCACTTCTTGAAAAACGAATGCAGTCGATGAGGGAAATCCCCTACTTACTTCACGACAAAGTAATCTACAATGGGCTTGCCACCATCTGTGAACTTTTCAGTGATTGGTTTGCAAACTTTAGAAACGCGTATGCCTAGTGAAACCGCCCCCCTTACTAGCTCTTCCCTTGGAAGCATTGTGTTCACCAGTCAATTAATAAAACAAGCAGTTAGAAGCCTTAGACCTTCCGCTAGTACGGGACCGGATGGCCTTGCTTCAATAATTTTCAAAAACAGTGGGTGTGATACACCCCTGTTACTTCTTAAATTCTTTTCAATATCTATGGACACTGGCACTTACCCTAGTGAGTGGAAAACTAGCGTCATAATTCCACACTACAAACCTGGTGATAAGGCAAACGTCCTCAATTACAGACCCATAAATATAACCCCAGTTATCTCGCCAATCATCGAGAAAGTTGTAAAAGATCAATTGTCAGACTACCTACTTAGGGAAGATCTTGTTACAAGGTCTCAACACGGATTTCTCAAAATTAGATCCTGCGTTACTTCGACTTTTTCAACTGCATCACTAGTAGTCGCGAAGCACGTAAGCTAGTAGTTGTTCTCTACTTCGATATATCTCGGGCATTTGACATGGTGTCTCACAGTATTCTCTTTGAGAATCTGAACTCATGTGGAATTCACAACTCATTACTGAATTGGTTAAAATCGTTTCTAAGCAACAGGGTACAAATAACCAAAGTTGGATCTGTATTGTCTCATCCTAGGCAGATCTCAAGTGGGGTTGTGCAGGGTAGTGTCCTAGGTCCACTTTCATTTACAGTCTACATTAATAGCATTTGCAAGTGCTTCACCTCAAGTAAACCATTCCTATATGCTGATGACCTCAAAGTCGTCTACTCCTGCTACACTCATGGATTAAGCGATATGCTTAATAAAATACATCTTGAACGAAGTAGTCTCGCAACATGGTGTGCTGAATCCTGTCTAAATTTTAACATTGAGAAATGCGGCTGGATTTGAATCGGCAACAATAACCTTGATCTAACTCTTAAAATAAATGGACGAAAACTAGCCAAGCTCAACTCAGTCGTAGATCTCGGTATCAGATACTCTAGTAACTTAACGTTCTCTCAACAGACTGATTATGTCAGACGTAAAACACGAAGGCTGCTAGGATGCACAACACGCAATTTCTTTTGTTGTGAAACTACGGTTTCATCATACAAAGTATGTGTCCGACCTATTTTAGAATACTGCCCGTTTATTCTTAGCGGACTCAGACAAAATGACAAGCTTAAATTAGAGGGAGTGCAACGGCAGTTTACCTCAAGAACTCTTGGTTTAGAAAGTGGTCTGGAATACCATGCATGAGCGATGCGACAGACTAAGATTAGAACCACTCTGGAAAAGACGTCTTAAGCTAAACCTTATCTTTTACTACAAGCTAACTAATCTTCTCTTCAACTCCTCCGAGCCAATAACTAAACCTACCGCTGTCATCAGTTACGATCTTAGAAATCATCACAACCTAGCTGCTGTAGTGCATTGTCAGATTTACATGTGGCACAACTTCTTCTCAAATAAGTTTTCAGTCATTTGGAATAGGGTACCAGCTAATGTGCGTGATGCAAACACACTTCCAGTATTCACCTCCTCAGTCACCAGACTGCTCAAAGATGACAATGCACCTCTACGTTTGACTCTTACACCCTCTTTTTCACCCTACATAGATATTTTAAGTTCTTTAAACGTGTAGTTACAACAAACTACAATAATAAATTTCAATATTATTGGAACCAGATGATAAACATTTCTACACAGGACAGGAATATTAGTTCACACATAATATAAAAGTTAGCATAACGGGACTAGTTAGTTAGTGCACAAAAATAACCGTAGTTACTAAACAGAATATATATGTATATATTTATTAATCACGCCTTAAGGACTCCTCTTGCTTTCTTTTGTGTTCCTGTTGTTTGTCTTCTTTTTCGTCTCACCATTTTAGCTTCCATTTGACTTTTTGAATGCGAATGAAGTATGTGGATATTTGACCATTTACAATGACAAATGATCTGCAAACATTATTGGTCCCATATCTTTCAGTTGCCTAGTTAATAACGAATTAACTTTCCCCACGATGAAACCTGGATTACATTTGTGGAATATACTCTTATAGCAATGGAAAAGTATTAATTTGTAATACAACGTCACGATTGTAACTTATAACATAACTGATCGTATCTGTAAAAATAGCTTTCTTATTACCCAATTTGGATATAAATCAAAAATAAAATTCGGATTTGTACACACCTTAGTTATATTGTGGAATTACTTCAAGCTTTATTTTTTCCCAAGTATTTTTAATCCATCCAAAACATACTTGGG